AATCATATCAAATCTTTTTTGTAGATCGTTCAATATGTGCATGAATTTTGCAGATATGTCTGTATTGCTAAAAATGTGTTGATCAATGTTTTAATTATTCATTCTTTTATTGTTGATAGAAATATGAGGAACGTATGGCTGGCCCCATCGGCAACGCCTTACAATGATTTTTCAAGGTTATTTAACCCCCTTTTTAAACCCGGCTGGTAAATCTCGCCCAGTAGGTCGTTGATGATTAAGGCCACTCCCGGAATTTTGTTGCCGGGCCTAGCAATACGCCCGATTTAGGTTATTGCAGTGCGGACAAAGAGGGAAAACATTTTTGTTTTTAAGGGATATTGAACTGACCCAAAACTAAGTACAATCCGGAGTCCCCCTCAACCAGGGATTTATCCCATTCAATTGGGGTTCATAAAAAGGGCTTGGTTGGTTAGTATACTAACGGCGTATACTACCAGCTTATATGCTGCTAGGACCTATCCTTGCTGATCTTAATGTAAGTACTTCCTGTTCGTATGTGTCCGTGTCTTTGTCCGAGTCGTATTCCGATCTGGCTGACTATCGATAACGTTGAACCCCACTGTGCGGTTGTTTATTATTTCGCATAGAACGTAATTTATTTTTCTCATAAATGAGCTTAGTAATGATTATCTACAGGAGTTTCTTTTGCCTAGTGTTTATCTGAACTTGAGTGATTAATAACTGCCTATGTGATCCCTTACTTATGAGTTATTTGGCTATGCTTGCTGTTCTTATAGAAACTGTTGGCGAATTATTATGGTGGAGTTCTTTATAAGTTGAGGTTGCACTTGGTTCTGGTAGATCACTTGTTAAATCATTAATTGATTTTATGAATTTGAACACCGATAGCGGTGGTAGCACTAGGACCGATTGTCTTAAGGTGAGGAGGGTGACTTATTCATTCTTTTATTGTAATTTTACTAACCCACGTTAACAAAATTACTGTCACAACTTACTTATGACACTGTTGATGAAAATTATGCTAGGGATTATACAAATTGCAGACAGACACAAGTCTTCATGTAGGGATTAATTTCAAAAATATCTTTGTGTCAAACCTACCCTGAAATAAGGCTTTACATGCATGTAAGGCGGGCGCCAAGAGTCAGATTGTGCCCGGTGGGCGGAGTCGGGCAATAATATTACCGCCCTAGGGCGACAAAGACCATTTGTGTTTACCTAACCACCCAGATAGCACAAGAGGTACCCAGGACGTCCATTTCGGGTCCCACGTAGGTCCGAACGTCCTAGACCTATATCGGAAGTTTTGGGTACGTCCAGTCTCTTACTTATTTGGGAAAATTATAGCGGATATACTGGGTACGTCCCAAGGACGAAATTGAAGCATTGTATTTTCAAAGGGTCTAAGTGCCAAGTTGGTTAAATAATATATTATCATTTAAAAATAGTTTGTGTGATGCAGAATGATTTAATAGTATATTCTGTAACAAGTTTGGAATGCAGCATATCCGCTCGATTGAAGAGTTTGTCACACGAGCCGAAGGCGAGTTTGACGGTTTCAGGAGAGCGGAATATGCAATTCCAAACGTGTTTCAGACATTTCAACATTTAAATGTGCAAAATATTTGTTTTTCATTGATAACTCACAATTTTATTTTTGTAACTTAGACCCCCCAGACAGCATCCAATTCAGAGAGATTTCTGTACGAAGTCTGTTGAAAAACATCTTACTGAGGTCACAATATGACATCTTAGAGAAATCATTTTTAGGAGCTCAAGATTAAGAGTTCTCGATGAATTCATAAATAAGAAGTAAATTTTTTAACATCTTAAAGTATCTTTTTTTCTGACCTCTTATTGTAATCAAAATTAGAAGCTACTAAGGGTAGGTATCATAAATAAGACTTTAGTTATATGATATCTTAAGATAATTACAGTATTCTCTTTTCTTACTTCTTGCTAAAATCATATTATTAACTCTTTAAGACGTCAACATGGAGACCGTCTCCAGGAGACGTCACATTTATGACATTTTAATGCGATTCTTTCTTCTCACCGCTGTAACTGCTTGTGTTTGATATAAGAAGCGGCGAAGTAGAATTTAGAGCGTGCTTCATACCAAACGGTCTTAGACATAGGTAAACGGCTACCCGATCGGGTATCGATACTGACGAGCTCCAAAAGAGGGAAACAGGCCGTCTATCGGTGCCGGTGAAGAGCACGCTTAAATTTAAACAAAAGTGAGACGAAGTAATCGCAATTCCTAAAATAAGCAAATACGAGCAAATTATTAAAATGATTTTAATAAAATCCATTTAACAAATTAATAAAATAAGACTTTATTAAGACGTCATATTGCTGTCTGGGCCTTTGGGAATACCACTCTTCAATTCTGTAAAGCTTGTCCATTGGTCCGCAATAAAGCATTTCAGGATGGCCAGAGGATGTCTTCCTTAGGACGTTCTGGGGACCGACGATTTGGTACCATCGGATGTCCCTGGAACATCCTGGGGAAGGTTCAGGACCTGATTCGGACGTACTCGGAACTTACTAATGTCTGATACAAGATATACTCAGGACGTTTTTATAACTTCTTTGTGCTATCTGGGCAAACCAAGCAACCTGCATGATAAGATAGTTTTTGGTATTTATGCTATGTTAAAATGTTATTATTACCTTAGTAGCTAAGTATTTATAATTGCAAAATGTTTGACTTTTTCGCTTTGTAACCCTCCGATACTCTTTTCAAATAAGCAACCAATTTTTTATAATTTTTAATCTGAATGTTTTCTTTTATACTAATGGTAGATTTGAGCATTGAGAAAGTTGCCCAAATCGTAGATGCTTTCCACTTTTGTGACAATTCCTGGAAATAAACGATAAGAACAACACTTTCACGTTCTTAGATTTTTTCCATTCACTATAGGTTAAGTACGCCGCTTCGTATTTTCCTTTTGATTTTGCGGGCAATAATGAATCATGTACACCTTTCGCTAGTTCTCTTAATTCCGGGGGCGTACAAGATATATCAGAATTATTCAGTTCAGTTATTTTAATAATAATTATTGAACCACTGTCAAACTCACCGTAGTAAAATTAGCTGCCTATCGAATTTTTATTTTTTAAATGTTTTTTTATTTTGTAAAAGCCTTTTCAACTTGAAAATTTCAGGGCAGATTTGACACAAAATAGTATGTGTACCACGGGCGGAAATGTGATTTTGACTCGTGTGATTGCCGCACTCGCATTTTATGCTCGTGCGGCAAACTTCACACTTGTCAAAATCGCTTTCTTTCCGCCCTTGATACACAATGTACTATTATGCCACTGTTGCAGTATGAACTATGAGTAATTTTACACTTCTTCCACTAAAAAAACCAAAATTCAGTTTTTTTGACTTATGACACTGTTGTCGCCCATGTGCGATATATCTATATATCTATATATATATATATATATATATATATATATATATATATATATATATAATAATAATAATAAAAATAATAAATTCTTTATTTTAGGTATTTTAAAATCTTATTTACAATTACAGAGCAGGCACAAACACAATGCACACAAGATCAAACGTCAGATGCTTGTTATTATTTTAAAATTCTTGTATTGTGAATTTGTGCTTTTTATTCGAATTTATAATCGTTGTTAGTTGTTTTATTGGTTTATCGAGAAAACCCGTAATATTTTTTTTATCGAGAAAAACCGTAATACAGATTCTCAAGTTAGATATTCTTTCGCAAATAGTCACTCTGGTTATTAGTGTTGCCGTCTAGACAAGACAAGACAAGAGTTGTGTAAGTCTAAGTCTTGATTAAAAAAGCTTAATGCAGTCTTGTCTAGATTATTATTTAAGAGTCTAGATTATTATTTAAGAGTCTAGATTATTATTCAAGAGTCTAGATATAAATTATGCGTCTGCGCAATGTAACTCCCACTCTTGTTTTAGAACCAGTCAAAACAAATCACTTCCGCCAAGTGCAGACGCAACCCTTGCGTTTTGTTTTTGCACTAAATTAAGCCGTAAATTTATTATTATTTAGTTTAGGTTTTGTTGTTTTACTACTGGTTAATACTAAGAAGCATTTTAAAATATGGAAACAAAGCGTTTAAAATTTTCCTGTACTTGAAACTGCCAAATGATAATAATAATTATAACGAAGAAGAAGTGGAAGGTCCTTTTACGTGTGATTCGATAGATGCAGATAAAAGTTATGAGCCTGTATCAGACGATTTTTCAGGTAGTGATGATGAAAGTGTTTTTTCGCCAACCAACAGTACCACCACAGCAACAATCGATTTTAAGCCATCAACTTCACGTACTTCAACAACAATTTACTTCAAAGACAACTCAACCTAACAAAAACTCTTAATAAGGTTATTGGCAAAAATAATAATAAATAAATATATCTAGAAAATAAGTCCAAGATAATCCCCAAATATATGTAGAAAATAAGCCCAAGATTTCAATAAAATATATACATTCTTTTTAATAAAAAAATAATAATTAAATGAAGTGTTTTTAGTATTTTTTAAAAAGTTAAATTTAATCTAGTCTTGAAAATAATCAAGAGTTTTGGCTTAAAGTCTTGTCTTGATTATAATCAAGATTTTTGGCTAAGGTCTTGTCTTGTCTTGATACACTTAGACAAGATATGTTGACGGTCTTGTCTTGATATTCTAGACAAGACAAGACAAGAGTCTAGAATGTGTTAGTCTTGACGGCAACACTACTGGTTATATATGTTGCCCTATACAAATATTTAATTTAAATCATTTTTAGATAATAAAAAGTATCTATTTTTCGTAGAAAAAGTATAGTATGCAACTCGTTTTTAAACTTTTTTACACACTCATTTACTTAAACACTCGCCTAATTAAAATTCTTGATTAAAATGGCGTTTATCAAACTTAAAACATAATATACTATTATAAAATTTATATAAATAATTTAATTATATTAAAGTAAAGTTTTTATTTAAAATATTGATAAATAAAACAACCTATAAAATATTAGAAATTTAATGAAATAAATTAATAAACTATACACATTATTACTATTAAAATCACGTCAAAAATCACTTAAAATTTAGGAAGTAAGCTTAAAATTTGTCCACCAAGGCCTTTTTTAGTATTTCCATTCTTGGTGTATGGTGGCTCTTTGTTGGTTTCCAAGAAGAAATCTCCTTTTTCCATGGTGGTTATATCACCAACAGCTACAGTAACGTTGTCACATTTGTTGTCTTTAAAGGATTTCCAATCTTTGCATTTCTTGGCCAACATGGTTCCTGGGTTCAAGATAGCTTCAGTGTAGTAGGCCCAGGCTCTTCTATGGTCACAGAAAACTAAAAAAACACAATTTAACCAAAAAGTACGTCACATTTTATACTTTTAAAATACAGAAATAGGAGAATTAACAAGTTAAATTACATAAAGGTATGTATATATTATATATATATATATATATATATATATACAATGTGTCCCTAAACTTAGTGGCATAAATTTAGGAGCAGATTAAGCAAGTCAAAATAAGACGAAAATCTAAAGAAATATTTTTCCTAATTACGTATGTCTAAAAGATACAGGGTCACACAGTTTTTTCATCTAGAAAACATTTGTAATTCAAAATTGCACGTTTCTGATTGGTGGAAATTAAGACGAGGAAAATAGTCGTAATAATATTGCTTGACATTATAAAACCGACGGTGGTCGAGTGGTTAGTGCAGCTGACTACAAGCCGGAGGTCGTGGGTTCGAATCCCACCAGGGGTATGGCTGTTTATTTGTGTTGTCCTATTGTGTAATAGTCCTTCGGAGGGGACTTTAAGCCTGCGGTCCGTTCCTACCCCTAACCCGCACAAGCCATTCAGAAACCGAAGTGGTTTTACATTATATTCTAGGAAAGTTCAGGAAGAAATTGAAAGAAAAAAAAGATATCCACCTAGTAGGTACTTACTACGTAGTAGGATTTCTAAAAGTAATGTCATAGTATAGTAGGTATAGTAGGTACTTAGGGGCGTAGAAGCGGGGGGAGGCGGTTGACAATGCCCACCAAAATGATAAGGGGGTGAGGGGGTTACTTGAATATACCCTCCAAATTCTTTGAAAAAATCTACCAATAAGACAAGTCGAGTACCGTCTATGTTATTCTTAATTACGATGAAATGCTAAAATAGTTCTTATCGTGTGCTAAAATGATCAGCTTGAGCTTTATTAATGTAATAACGAATTTTATTGCTAATAAGACAAGAAATCGCATATTGCCGTTGTTATTCTTACAGTAATATGCAAGATATGCCTTTATTATTTTTACCCATTTGGTGCTAAACAATAAGGATGGTAGTAGGTTGCGCCACCTCCCAACTTAAAACCGTTCCTGCGTCACTAGTATAGACATATCCTGGAAACAAACGTGTGTCGTTACATATCACTTTTAGAAATCCGAAAGCATCGTTGACTATAGTTAATGATATATTGGCGTAAAAGAATATGCCAATATAGGACCAACCTTGGATAAACATTGGCAAGATATAAAAAATTATCATTTTATGCCAATATAGGGCTAACATCGGCTAAATAAATCCAATATTGGCCCCAGATAAAATATTGGGCATAGATGCGCCCCATATAGGACCAATATTTTGTGCTACTGGGGTACTGTCTGTTCAGGATAAGTTGGCGGACTGAAGAAATTACGATATTTAGTTATTAAACAATTGTCATGCTGTGTGCTTTTAAAACGTATTTTTATGATATAAATAATAATTTTAATAAGTATATAAATTATAATAAAAAACTGAGTAGGTATGTTTATACGTATATATGTATATTATTTATCTAAACTGCATGAACATTCCTTTGCTCCGCCAACTTATAATAACTTATAATTGACAGACTATAATTTGTGTTCAAAATTGTACAGTGTGTGCCATACAATTCTTCTTAAATGAAATTGGTTAACTGGCTTAACTCTATTCTGATCAAGGTATGTTAAAATTTATATTATTATTGTTTTAAATTCTTACATGGGTCTCCAAGACTCCTAAAATCTAAGAGGTCGATTCTCTTGCATCCTGGTTGAGAATTACCGCCATTTGGATAAAAATCGATGGTACCAATAGAGGTGGGATAACCCAGGGTATAGCCATCGCTGTGCAAAACTTCCACGACTTCAGCATCGCTTGGGTTTAATCGTTTATCTTCTGGCCTTTGGATGAAAAGAGGACCGGCTGGATCGAGAGCAATAATCCTGGGCAATTTTTTACCAGTTTCCTTGAATACTCGTTTGCCAATAAATCCTGAGATTTGACCGCCTAGGGAATGACCCACTAAAACGAAGTGCTCCAATGGGATTCCGTGGTTCTTGTGGAGATCGACAATCAAGTCACCAATGTGATTACCTAAATTATAATAAAACTATAGGTAAATTTTAAATTAAAAACACATTATTTTAATGAAATTCTATATTTTTGAGCTGTGAAGTCAAGTCAATGAAATCAGCAATGAAAATACTAGGGAATATTTACAAGCCTTTGCATCAAGCAACTTTTGTATATATTTTTTTAATAAAAAAAAAATTCAACCATGGTTGATGCATCAGTATACTCATTCTAAGGACTTATCAATAAGCCGGGCTTATTAAGCCCTCGTCTTTCTTTATTGTTTAACGAAATAAAAAAAATTCTGCAAAATGTCTTAAAAAAATTATTGTAAAATTAAATTGGTGGTCCTTTTTTAAACAGTTAGTACCTTAATAATAACACTGTAGGGAGGTGAAAATATCACAGCGAAACGCTGATACACGTAAACTTAATTTTTGGTCGTAGATTACAAATCCGTGCTTGATTTAGCTGTATCAGGTCAAAATTCAAAGATATTGGAAACACCCTGTATAAATTTAAACACTCTGTATAATTTTTTTGAATTAAATTTGGCGGGACCCACACATCAGTTCCAAATTAAAAAAATAACAAATTCTTGCAAAATTTGAAGTTAATTGATCAAAAGATACAAGTGTCCCTAAGGGTTTTTCTTAGATAATTTAGGAAATTTGAAATGTTTTTTTGCTGATTTTTTGTTTATTGAGTATAATTGAGGATATTATATTAAATGAAATAAAAAGCATAAAACTGTTGGCACAAGAGGTGAATTATATTATTTTACAAATTATAATATACCAGTATACAGTGTGTCCCCGGATCGGATTTCCAATAGGAAAAACTTTTTTAGACCTGATACAGCTAAACCGAGCACGGATTTGGAATCTACGACCAAAAATTATGTTTACGTGTCCAAGCGTTTAGCTGTGATATTTCAAAAGTTAAAAATTTACCTACAGTGTAATTAATATTTTTCAAAAATACATTCTTAAATAAACAACTCGAGTCAAGTTCACAGCCAAAAATGCGTTTTATAGAACCGGTTTTTGTAAAAAAAAATCAATTCCTTTAATCATCATAAAGTTTTAAACTGTGATATACCAACCCTGTGATAAATGTTCTTTTATACATCTTTTGTACACATAAATATTGTCATGAATGTTTTTCATTTTTTATATATTCTTTATGTCATGTAAAGTTCTTTTTCTATCTGACTTGTGTAGGTAATACAACTTTTTGTAAATAACACCAATAAATGATTTGATTTGATTTGATTTGACAAACATGACATACCATACATATAATTAATATTATTCAAAAATACATTTTTAAATAAACAACTCGAGTCAAGTTCACAGCCAAAAATGCGAGTTATAGAACCGGTTTTTGTAAAAAAAAAATAATTCCTTTAATCATCATAAACATCACATACCTAATAATAATTAAATATATTCTTAAATACAACAACTCGAGTCAAGTTAAAATTTCACTGATATCGTTAATTAGTTCAAGAGCAACAAGGTATTATTTATAAACAACAATTTAAATTTTGTCGAATTAAGTAGGTACCTAAATAGATTTGATTTGTTTTCTAATTTCGATATAAAACAAGGATGGTCTTTTTCAATTGCTGATTTTGAAGAAGAAATTTTGGGACACATTTACATGTAGTCCGGGTTGTAAAAACAATTACTTTATTGCTTCTTAGAAACCAACATTGTTATTTATGTTTAACATCAGACTTTACATTTGAAAAGTCAAAATATATTTTAAATCTATTAAATTATTATAAAAATAAGGACTTACCAACATCATAAGTACTGATTGAAGCAACAGTATAAATAGCATTAGCAGGTTCATTCCAATCGACTTGTACAACATAATATTCTTCCTTTCTATTTAAAAACGAATTTTTTAAATCTTCATACCACTGAATATCTCTACTATTCGTCCAACCGTGGATAAAGAATACGATTTTAGCGTCTTTGTTCCACTGGTCGTCCAATTTTTTCGCATCGACTTGAATAAATTTGGTTGGATTGTCCTTTTTGAATAAGTAATAGGTTACTTTGTCAGCCGAAACAGGTTCGGATGTAACATTTCTAGCTACTTTTGCTGTGTTCTTGTAAACATCGAAAAAATCTTTTTTTAATGATTCTCCTAGTTGGCCATTGACACCTTGAACAAAAATTTAAATAATTTAATAACATAATATTATCGTTGAGTGAAGAATCAATAATGTTATTAAGAATTATTTATAAATATTTATAGGTAGGCAATTTTATACGCAATTTTAAATTATCTTTATAAGATATAACAAACAAACAAACCAATTAAAAAATGAATAAATTGTGTAATTTATATACGAAGAAAAATATATATATATTAATAATTTAAGGTATACTTAAAATAGGGTGGCGATTTTCTAAAAAGGAAAGTTTTCCAGAGTCAGGGAATTATTATTTTAAAATTTAAATTTAAAACCATATACCTACATTTTTTGCCACATAAAACTAATTTTCTTCAGTCTATCTATGATATTTGGCAATAACAATGCGGAATTTCCTGAATTATTTTTAAGACCCAAAACTGTTTCCCCCAGCTCTAAATAAAACAAACACCTAACAAAAAGTAACCAATTAAATCCATCTATAGATAAATAAAGACCCGAAAATGTACTTTGGGGACATGAGTTGTTCTTAAAATTATTAAAACCCACAGGTCTGTGTTAAAAACGCTAAAGAAGTATCGGGTTTTCGCAACGCGCGCGCCATTGGTGGACTTCGAATGCATTGCGTGAATTTAAGAATTGTCAACAATAAATTTAAATCACCGATTATACATCATTTTTAAATAAATAGGTAGTTTTTTTTTACAAAAGAGAGGAAGGCAGAAGTCTTACTCGACAAATTTTGTTCAATTGCACAGCTAAATCGCGCGCGTTATTTGTGTTTTACGTTGCAAGGAAAAAAACTTTTGTAGTAATCGATTTCGATTGATTATTCCTTATATCATTGATTAAGAAACTCAACGCTTAAATGCTTATATAGTTACGTTAGTGTGTGTATTTTATCAAAGGGATCATGGTAAATTATTGTGTTTTTAATTGTAAATAAAATTCAAGAACTAAATCGTTGCATTTTCATGTTTTGCCAAAGGATCCCAGTACATTTGTTGGTGCAAAATTAACTAATGATAACTTTACACCTAGAGTCGCGGCCAAATCTGTATGGGTGCACGTCATCAACGGCATGTGACGTCAGCGTTAAGGTCTATTCATACCTGCCCAGACACAATCTAACGCTCGTGTATTGTTGACTGTTTATAGCGGTGGGGGCTGTTATTAAGATGGAATTATAACGTCCTTGTTATAATCTTCCGCACTAACTAACTAGGAGTTTGTTACAGGCAAATTTTTATTAAATGTGTTTAAAGAGAAAACAAACGGAGTTTATTACATTTTTATTAAGTACATATGCACATACTAAATTATCAGAAACACAAAAATAATAAATTACCAGTCGTCCTTGTCATCAGAGCAAACCAGGTCAGAATTGAAGTCTGATTATTTCCCCAAATTTATTATTAAGGGCGCAATGTCTTCGAAATCTAATAACGGCTACCCAGGCAACACAGTGACGTGAATATCACGTTTAATTTACGTCTACGGTGACGTCGAAGTCACCAACTTAGACACGTCTTATCGTCGTAAAATTGACGACAATATGTCACAGCGATTTCACTTGTAAAATCACGTAATATTACGTAATTATTTACGTAATTTGACGTAAATAATCTCGTAATATTTCTTGAATAATATATGATTAGGTTATACACTGATAAAAATAATTACCGATACTGATATCAGATATTTCAATGCGAAATGTGATTTTGTCAAAATTAAAAAAACAAAAAATTTTTAGTTGTACTTTTAAATTTTAAGAAATAAATAGGTAAACCCTACTATATATAGTATATATATACTACTATAGTAGATATATATTTGGTAAATAATTAATAATCAAAATAAATGTATGTAAAAAAGTAGAATATCAAAAAAAATTTTGCAGCAACACATACATACATGGCATTAAAAAATCGGATATAAGAATAAATAATTATTTTTACTAGTGAATAAATGGCTTTTGGTTTAATAATTAATAAAACATGTTTTAAGTTGCTCAAAACATTTATTATAAAATCAAACACATTAAATTTTAAGACAGATGACAGGTAAATATTTTAGGAGCTTATGTAGGTACTTCATTTAGGTGTTATGACTTCGTTACGGATTAAACTGAGTAATTAAAACATTAATAAACAAACAAAAATTGACCTACCTGACACAGCCAAAGTATTATCAGTATAAATGGTTTGTTCTATGTATAAATGCCACAGATTATAAAAGTTGGACGCTTGAATCAACCATATTGTTTTTTAGGAATAAACGTTCCCTCGCTTTGTAAGTAGTGTCAAAGAGAAACAGGGTTGCCAGGTGTAAAAATTAATATTATCGAAGAGGGTTGACAAAATGATCAAATCTACAGAAAATTATATAAAATTATCAAAACAAAAATTGTATAAAAACAAGAAAAACTACGCGGCGGATTAAATTATGTTACAATTATCGATTATTATTTAAATTTTACTATTTTAAAAAAGAAAATTATAAAACATCTGGCAACACTGTAGATAAATAATTTTACTAAAATTAAAATTGTGATTGTCAACTGCAGTAACATGTTAATTTCTTATTTTGTGATGAAATGATAAAGGATTTAAAAATCGCGAATTTGTTTTAAAAAATCCACTGATCAATAATTATTAATCTATCTTAATTACTTTAAAACCAAATAATGTTTAAAATTATTTTAATAAAATATTGCACGTTGTTTCTCCGTCCAAATAACGTAAATTGAATAAAAATAATAATTTTTGTTTTTAAAAATATTCCAAAACTTTTTGTCGGCCCATTAAAACGGGCCAACTGTTTCTTATTAATTATCACTATATTTTCATATTTTCTTAAAAATTTCGTCATCTGTTCACGTGATAATGACGTCATTTATTGGTTATCATCGACCTAAGTTAATAATTGGTCGTGTTTTGGTGAATTTTGAGACGTCGAAAAATGGTTGAAATGTAACTTCTACCAAATTCGACCCAATTCGTCGACGATTCTACGTGATTTCTACGACCCTGTGTTGCCTGGGTAGTTGCCAACAAGCCTTATATCTTAGAATAAGCCTTATATCATTGTTTGCACAATCCAGGGATAGAATCTTATAAACATCTGGATATATTGTCATCGATGTCAGAAATATTAATCAAAATTTATGGTTTAGAAAAATAAAATGAAGATATTTGAAAGTAAAGTTTTTTAGAATGAATAGCAGAGCTGTGCGGTACTCGAGTACAAGTACTCAAACACTGTACTCCAAGTACTTTCAGTGTACTCGGTACTCAGTCCCGAGTACTTTAATTTGAATGTACTTATACTTGTACTTGATACATTTAAGATTGCAAAAATGTACTCGAGTACTTTCCCGTGTACTCGAGTACTTTTACACGTGCACCCATATAGATTTGGCCGTGACTATAATATAGTCACGGCCAAATCTGTATGGGTGCACGTCATCAACGGCATATGACGTCAGCGTTAAGGTCTATTCATACGTGCCCAGACACAATCTAACGCTCGTGTATTGTTGACTGTTTATAGCGGTGGGGGCTGTTATTAAGATGGAATTATAACGTCCTTGTTATAATCTTCTGCACTAACTAATTAGGAGTTTGTTACAGGCAAATTTTTATTAAATGTGTATAAAGAGAAAACAAACGGAGTTTATTACATTTTTATTACATATGCACATAACAAAAAAATACTAAATTATCAGAAACACAAAAATAATAAATTATCAGCCGTCCTTGTCATCAGAGCAAACCAGGGGTGCGATTCTCGAGTTGAGAGAACGCTATTCTCATGAGAAGTGGGCGTGTTTCACTTAAGTTTTGACAGGCTGCATTCTTAAAATCATGCAATAGTTTGGTTTTCCTAAAGCAGAAAAGAGTTTCCGAGAGAAGAACGCACTAACTTATCTTAAATTCAATAATACAGCCTGTCAAAACTTGAGAGAAATGCCCACTTCTCCTATGAGAAGCGTTCTCTTAACTCGAGAATCGCCACCCAGGTCAGAATTGAAGTCTGATTATTTCCCCAAATTTATTATTAAGGGCGCAATCTCTTCGAAATCTAATAACGGCTAGTTGCCAACAAGCCTTATATCATTGTTTGCACAATCCAGGGATAGAATCTTATAAACATAATGTATAATATTATTTATAATAATTTGCAACAAACGATGCTTCCGGACGAAATGTCACAATTACAAAAATACGTAAAATATAAAATGACAGCGACCCATCAATAATATTGAACGGTGTGCGCCAGCCTTAAGCTATTACCAACTGGCACACACAAAAATTACTAAGTGAATGGTTTTATTTTGATAATTTCGTGAAAAAACGTTTTAAAACAAGGAAATTGTTACAGTTCTTGATAAACAATACGCAAATGAATGATTTCTTTTTAATAACACATCAGAATTACGCCTTAAAAAAGCAAATTTAACGGCAGTAACTTTACAATTCAAAGTTGGTAATGCTGACGTCATTATATCTCATTGATACGTGCACCCATATAGATTTGGCCGTGACTATATAATATAATTTATATTTAAATTTGGACATTTTTAAGAAATTAGTAAATAGTATATTAAAGTACAAGTTGCAGAAGGCCACATATTCTCGACGAATTCGAAATTTGGCCTCGAGCGACGAAGGAGCGAGTGGACGAACGAATGAGTGCGAGAATAGCCTTCTGCAACGTGTGATTTATACTATTTTCTCGATTTTAACTTTTATTTAGGTTTTTTAATTGTTTTGTGGTCGTTGTTAGTTAGGGGATTTTTCTCGCAAAATGTCAGTTGGCAACACAAAATGACAATATTTGTTATCCTGCACAAGTACAACCTGAACTGCACTTTTTTACATTCAACTTAAAATTTTGCATTAAAATGCATTGTTGGAGCAAACTTAATATTACAAAACAATAATAAAGGCTTCATTTTCAAAAAAAGTAATGAATTTGAGGTTATTAATCAGTTTGACATTTTGGG